TGGGGATTGGTCCTACTTTGATCAGGGGTTTGGACTAGATGACCTCCTGACATCCCTTCCAACCCTGATATTCTATGATTCTAATAGGGATTATAAATTCTAATTCTATAGTATGACAATATATTCATGTAATGTATAATAAAAGTTTTGTAAATGAGTTCCAATAGTTCACAGATTAGGGACCCAATCTTATGGGGTTCCAGAGGCTTCTGTATAGATTATTTAGGTTAATCTTTTTCTATCTACCCAATGGGACTCAGTGCTCAGTCTGGAAGATACCATGAGAGATGCTTAGTTTTGCACGTCTCAAACTGTGGATTTGTCTCTCCAGAGATAACATGCTTGTTAACAGCAAAAATGTTTTTTAAATAAATAAATAATATAGAGGTGAGAAATAACAGACATCAACCCTATTGTCCCTCTGCAAATTTGTATACACAGTCAATCCCTTACCTCTCTAAAAGTGCAAAGTTTCGAAAAGTTCAATGAATAGAAGATTGTTGGGGGCGGAATAGATCTGGACAAAAAGAGAAGAAGTCTGGAGATCAATGTGAGAAGGGAGGGACGGGCAGTAGAAACAAAAGTGAAACTGAGCAGCATATTCCAGAAGTCTTGAGGTCTTTCTGAGTGTAGCCTTCATTGATTTGAGATCTATCATACCATTCTCTCACTATAAGGGAAAACCTATAATGGCAGCAGGCCGTAAAAGAGACCCAGTTTGAGAATATTTTAATGAAGTTCCTCTACCTGTGGGTAAGACAGGCATGTGTGCAAAATACAGACCGTGCAGCAAAGAAATGCAAGGCCTGGTTGCTCGAATGAAACAACATCACGAGAAGTATTCCTTCTCAGGAGGAAGTTGCATTGAAGAGGATGAAAGAAACATGTCTGAACATGCAGGATCTTCAGGTTGGTCAACTTCTTTTATTTCATACTTCTTTCTTTAGGACTGCCTGTCTTCCTTCTGGACTATTCTTGAATTCTCATGTTTGAGCAAAAAATATAGTTGTTACTTTATGGTACTATCATTTTAGATGCAGTTGTAATTAAAAAATAACTGAAATAGGCAGATCTTCCTTTTACAATTTCACCTTAAAGTAGTACTGAGTGAATGGTGAATGCAATGAGTAATACTAAATGAGCAGGGTGGTAGTGGTGGTGGTAATAATAATTAATAATAAATAATAACTTCATTGACTTATTTTGTTTAGGAGAATCCATCCTCAACATACAGGATTCTGAAGACTATCCACCTTCAAGATCACCATCATTTTCTATAGTTTCAGAGTTATCTGCCAATGATAGTGTTTCAGTCACATCATGTATGTCACATAGCCACAGTATATCACCTGTAGCAAAAAAGCCGGGGGGGGGAAATCTCCATCGTCCAGAAACAACCATAGATAAGTTTGTGTTAAGAACCAGCAGATTACAAAAAGAGGTAATAGATGAGAAAATTGCCCGGTTTGTTTAGGCAACAAACTCTCCTTTCCATATGATTGAGAACCCACACTTCATTAACATGGTTCAGTCATTAGGACTGGATACAGTCCATCCAACAAAGCAGACATCACAGACAAATTGCTGGATAAAGAGTATGAAAGAGAAATTGAGCAGTGTGCAAAAGGTCTAGAGGGTGAAACTATTAACCTGAGTCTTGGTGGATGGAGCAATGTCCACAATGATCCTGTTGTACGTGCTTGTGGGACAACAGAAGAAGGGAATGTCTTCCTTTCAGAAACAATTGATATATCAAGAAATGCACAGACAGCAGAATACTTACAAGAAGTAGCAGTGAAAGCTGTCACAAACTAGGGGAAAAAATTCAAATGTCTAGTATGCAGCTTGGTCACAAATAATGCTGCAAATGTATCCAAGATGAGAAGAAATTTAAGAGTGGAGAGAGTCCCAAACTAATAAACATACGGTTGCAGTGCTCATTTGATGCACTTCCTAGCCAAAGACTTCAGTGTTCCAGAAATAAAGGCTAATGTTGTTGAAAATCGCAAAATACTTCTGTAACAACCACTTTGCAGCAGCTACTCTGAAAAAAGACTCTCTCACAAGACATACGATGGAACACAGTAGTAGACTGTTTTGAGCATTATATCAAGAACTGGCCTAATCTGATGACTGTGAACAAAATTGTGAAAAAATAGATGGCACTGTCACAGCTAAAGTTCTCAACATTGGGCTTAAGAGAAATGTTGAAGAGATGCTGAGTACCCTGAAGCCTATTTCTGTAGCCTTGAACAAAATGCAGAGAAATAGCTGTTTTATTGCTGACGCTGTTGAAATGTGGAAGGAACTGAGTGAGATCTTAAAAAGAGAAATCTGCAATGATAGAGTTAAATTACAAGCATTAAAAAAATGAATGGGACAAGGACCATCTCCAGCTCATTTTCTTGCAAATATTCTCAATACTCAGTACCTGGGTCAAACCTTAACTGCTGGAGAAGAGGAGTTGGCTATAACATGGACATCCAGCAAACATCTCTCCATAATGCCAACTATAATAAACTTCAGAGCTAAGGGTGAACCATTCAAGAAATATGTTTGCTGATGATTTAAAGAGTCACACCAGTGACTTAAGCACTTGGATTCAGAGACTGAAGTGATCTCACTTTTAATAGCAGTAGCTTCTTCTGCTGGTGTAGAAAGAATATTTTCTTCCTTTGGACTAATTCATTCCAAATTGAGAAATCATTTGGGACCTGAAAAAGCAGGAAAGCTAGTTTTTTCTTTTCCAGATTATGAACAAACAGGAAAATGAAGGTGAAGACGACTGAGTTAGCTGCAGAAGCCGATATTTTAAGTTTCTCATGTTGAGCTGGCTGACAGTTGATTTAACTTTTTTTTGTTTTCTTTTCAAAAACATTTCATTTAACTATTTTAGTTAAAAACAATTTTAACAAAAACAGACCTGATGTTAAAAAGCTTGAATGTTTAACTAAATTTAAAAATGCATATGCTTGTTTTGTTAAAATATTATGTTTGCTATTGAAGAAAAAGATCCAGAATATATAACGTTGTTTTAATTAAATAAAACAATTTAAATGTCTGTCTGATTTTTCTCCTCCTAATACAGCATGGCAAAAAAATCCTCCAAATATTAATGATTAACCTGTTGAATTGTTGATTCCCAATGACTTCATAAATATCTGCTTCAGTTACCTTTGGTAACTGGAATAACCAAACAATCATTCATTTTCTGATATAGCTGTAAAACTAATCTGAACATTTTTTAAAAATAAATCACTTAAATGTATAGTGTGTACCTTCTAAAAATGAAACCTACATCTATCTCTGAGTTGTGAAGAATATGTATTAAGGTTATAACAACCAACAAGAATACACTTTTATGTAGAAATCCATGATTAAATAGTCTTCCTGACTAGTGACTTTAAACCGTGATTTAAATCAAATCCACCCTGATTACAGGAGTGGTTGGGTGAGGTTGCGTGGCCTGCAATGTGCAGGAGGTCCAACTAGATGCTCATGATGGTCCCTTCTGGCATTAAAGTCCATGAGATGCAGTTAGAATTCACCTGGAATAGACTGGCACCAGTGTTTGATTTCTGCAGCCTCCTGGCTGATGCCCTGGAGGCAGGTTATTCCACATCTGCCTATTGCAGGGCTCTTCTGAAGCAACTGGTACTATCCACCGTCAGACGGGATACTGGACTAGGTGGACTTGCGTCTTGACCCAGACTGGCCGTTCCTATGTGTACTGGTAGCCACAGGGCTGTGCTGCTCAAGCCTTTCCCTTTCCCAAACCTCCCTAGTTTTGTGCAAGAGCTACCACATACCAGTTGCACAGTCAAGAACTAGTTACACAGTGATGAATTAAGTTTGCTTTGGTGGTGGTGGCCGTGGCAGTGATGCTGCAACCTCAGGTTCTTCCCCCAGCAGTGAAGAGGTGGCGTGTGGACTGGCTGAAGTGTGGGTCCATTGGCCCAAAGTGACCACAGGTGTTTGTCATTTAGGTGAACATCCAAGTCCCTGCCCCTGAGCTTCGGTCTGATGTCATCAGTATCACTGGGCTTGCTGCGAACTTGGACCGCGCGAAGGCCGGGCTGCTGGAGCGAGTGAAGGAACTACAGGCTGAGCAAGAAGATCGGGTAAGCCCTAGTGCCACAGCCTGCTCCCTTGTCCCTCTTACTCCTAGGAGAACCAGCCCCTCAACCCCCACCCCAAGTGTTCTCTAGCCTTGTGTAAAAGAGTCTGTGATATCAGAGGATGGATAGAGGTAGAATGCACCCTTGTAAATAGTGTGTATTTGGCCTGACATCTGAGCTTTTAGGTAGGCACATGAGATGAAGCCTTTCAGACCACCCCCCCCCCCCTGCTGCTGCTGACAGCTGGGCGCCGCCCTCTGAACCTGGGCATTAAGGTGAAAATGATCTGTGGCCTCCAGAACAACATTCACCTAGCTGGCAGAGAAGTGGAATCTCGTACGGATTGGGCTCTGCAGCACTATTGGAGGCAGCTTCCTTGGCCTAAGATAAAGAATTTAGAGTTACAAAGGTTTGTTTGCTTCTGCTTCAAGTGAACTTGAAGGCTGAGTTACAAGCTCCCATAACCCAAGTTGTTGCACTGTAACCAGGGCAGTTACGGCCCCGTTAGCTACTAACCTAATGGTAAGAGGACACTCCACTTTGTGTGTTACTCAAATGTAACTTTAATTAAAAAGATCAAGTGGATTCTAAATAGCCCAGCTGTGCAGTGTGAGCTGATGAAAAGGTAGTGATCGGGCTGTCCAGTTTTTTATCCTAGTTTAAACAAATAGGCGTGGCATTTGAAATGGGGCAATCTTTCTGCAGTGAAACCAGGCATACAGTAACTGGTTTGGCCAGTGGCTTGTCTCAGCACTCCTCCATCTGATCTGGAAGTGGAATCTGCTGTGTAGACAATGGGTGAAATCTTGGCCAATTGAAGTAATCTGGGGAGTTTTGCTATCCGCTTCAGTGGAACCAGGATTTGACCCAATAGCTTTTAATCATCACTCTGTGAGGAATGCTTCTGAGTCCCATTCTCTACCTTCATGTGAAATGTGGTAGTTTTGGTCATCCTCCCTGGCTCCTCTGCTCTGTAGTGTTCCCTGTCTTCAGTACGCAGGACAGAACAATGAGGAGCTGTCATGAGCAGGGACCTATGGGTAAATGAGCAGAGGCTCAGCAGAAGCACAGGCCAGTGGCAGACGTGCACACAGCTACTTTGGCTCTGCAATCATGCAAATATGTTCAGGTAGTGCCACCCAAAGCAGCCACTGTGGGACAACCTGGGGCATGTCAGAGGAAAGCAAAAAACACCCCCAGAATCTGCCTAAATGTATGGGTCCCCTTACAGACGGGATACTTGAGAGATGGAGGTAGAAGTTTGACCTAGACAGGAATGGATTTAATTGGTCAAACCTTGATGTATACTCTGCTATAGCGCTCGAGAGGGTCTCCCTTCTCATTACAGGCCTTGCGAAGCTTCAAGCTGACTGTCACTGTGGACCCAAAATACCACCCTAAAATTATTGGAAGGAAGGGGGCAGTGATCACCCAGATCCGCACGGAGCATGAGGTCAACATCCAGTTTCCGGATAAGGATGACGAAAACCAGGTGAGGACTGGAGGGGGATGAAGCCTTCTGGGGCACAATAGAGGCTCTGAGTAGAGCACACATGACATTTCCAGCAGCTGCTCACTGCAAAATGCTGATCAAAGAAAAAAAAATCCCATGCCTGTCCCAGGCAGGCCAGTCTGACACTATACTTGGTTTCCAGCCCAGAGGCTCCTGTAGTATTGCCTTCCACTCAGACTTCTCCCCAAGAGGTCCAGGATGGGTTTGGTCCATGGTCCAGGAGGTCCATTCTAACTTCCTCCCCAACCTGCTTTCCTAGTCCCAGGATCAGATCACCATAACTGGCTATGAAAAGAACACCGAGGCAGCCCGAGACGCCATCATGAAGATTGTGGGTGAGCTGGAGCAGATGGTCTCTGAGGATGTGATGCTGGACCATCGTGTTCATGCCCGCATCATTGGAGCACGGGGCAAAGCCATCCGCAAAATCATGGATGAGTTCAAGGTGGGCACAGAGAGTATGCTGGATCCATTGCAGAGGCTGCTGTACAATGGTTGGGGTAACTTGAACTATTACAAATCCAGGACTTTGGGGCTCTTAATACCCATGCTTTCTGCCCTCTGCACAAATCCTGACCTGGGCTGCAAAGGCTGGAGGGATGATAGTGCTGATGTTACAGGGAATCTCTCTGTGGGCTTGACTGAGACGGAGATGGCTGCACACAGGAGTCAGGTGATGGTAGGCGAGGCCCCAGTCTGTCTAGCTGCAGAGGCCTTGCTCTCTTCCTGTGCTTACTCTAATCTGAGCCAGGGCTGCATGCCAGGGCATAGATGGACCTGTGGCTCCTTCATACACTCCAGGCAGCAGAGTTGATTGGACACCACAACTGGGAATGGGTTGAAGCAGCCTGCTCTCCTCCCTTCCGTGCCCTCCCCCCACCTTGAGCAAAATGGGATCTCTGGAAATGATGACCCAGGGTGTCTGAGTCCCAGTTGGTTTCTGGAGCTCTTCCCAGGGTGGGACACATGACTTCAGTGTTCCATACACCGGCTGAGAGAGAACTCCACTGAGCCCTTAGGCTGTGTCTGGCCCGTCAGCTGGCTGGGGCTGCAGGGTAGATGCTCAGGTTTGTGGGCCCTGGCTCCAGCCTGAGCCCAAACAGCTACATTGCAATTGTATAGCCCTGCAGCCTGAACCCCGGTTGGCTGACGTGGGCCAGCTGCAGGTGGTCAGTTGCAGTGTAGATGTATCCTTGAGTGTCTGTGGCCTGGGTGGATTTAATCTGGCAGACCTGCTTCTGTGTGATCCCTCTGTACTGTTCCCAGGGCTAAGCCACAACTGTTCTTCTTCAGGTGCCTCTGCCAGTGGCACCTGTCCATCACAATCACAGTGGTCTGATCATTTCACACTTTCAGACCTGAGCGGAATGGCTCCTCCCAGTAAGAGGGATTGGCTTTATCTGCTGCCCTGTCACTGATTATGGAGCCAGGGTGGCAGAAGCTTCCTAAAAGTGTCAGGGGGACACCATGGTGCCCGAACTGAGGCCTGCCTCTTATCCCCGAGGCCCTGATCTCACACTCTCTTCCCCTGAGGCCCCACCCCCTGCTCTCACTCCTCTTTCTCCCCCACCACGCTCACCCTTATGGCTTTTAAAATTGATGGGGCCATGGCCTCCTGGTACCCCTGCTTGGAGCCCATGAAGAACCTGTGCTATCATTTAGGCACCTCTCTGATGGGCGTTTGACATTCCCAGGGCCCTGGGTACTCAGCTCTGCGAGACCACTAGGGAATCTGGCAGCTTTTGATAAACAAAAATCCAAAGTCCCATATGCTCTGTATTAAATTTGCTGTTGGATTCAGCATTTGTGGTGCCCTTACTGATGTGGGTTCAGATTTTTCTATTGAAAACACAGCTGCTTTATGGAAGCTATTTGTGACCAGGGGGAGCTGAGTAGGGGGCAGCTTGGGTTTTTGGGTCCCTCGCAGTGCGTGGGAGACACTTCTGTTCTAGACGGCTTCATTGTAATATTGGATTACCTTCCAGCAGTGCCCAAAGCAACAGGCCACACACCTGTCTCAGGCTGGATTAAGATTGTTTGGGCTCTTGGAAGAAAGGCCTTAGTGGTGTCTGTCTCTTGAAATGATTAGCAGTGAAATAATGAACATCATTGACACTGCCTTTGTCTTTTAGCTTTGCCATGAACAACCCACTGATAGCCCTGGGAGGAGCTCAGACCTGCACTTCCCTTCTGTCTCTTGGAAATTGGGAAGGCTGGAAAGCTCTTTGAAGAGGAAATTGTGGCATCTTGAGCACCACTCTGTCCCTGGGGCTTTAGAGTGTCTAAAACAAGCTGAGAGCTGCTGGCGACTCCTGGAAGCTCACTAGAATGCTCTGGTTTTTGCCAGCAGTCCAGTGTCGCGAGGTGGCACTAGCAGTGGTTTGACAGAGGAAGTGATAGCTGAGGATGTAGTGGCTAGAACTCCCACCATTATAGCGACTGGTAAAGCATGGCAGGTTGTAAAGTCAGTGGGAGCGATTGCCAGCATTCTGGCTGCCAGAGATCGAAGTGCTCTGTAGAAGTGGGTACTCTGCCCGGGGCAGGTGCTAGTGGTAGGGTAGCTCAGCCCTGCTGGGCTCTGGGTTGCACAACACTACAAAGCTGTGAGGTGCTGAGTGAATGGCAGCAGTGACTGGAGAAGGGTCAGATCCCCCTGCTCCCAAGCTGAACGGACTCCATTCTGCTGGGAATGAGGCTTCCTGCTGTGTATGGGCTCCAGCTCAGCACTCCCTTGTATTGGAAACCAGACACTCCCCACCAGGGCTTGGTATGGTCCAGTGCAAACGAGCCCTCTGACTGTGGGCGCCTGTGGGGTCATCACTGCAGCCTAGCCATGGACCTCCAGAATGATGAGCCAGCTGAGAGGGGCTGGTGCACATCTAAAACCCTCTGCTGTGCCTTGCATTCCAGGTGGATATCCGCTTCCCCCAGAGCGGCGCGTCTGACCCCAACTGTGTGACTGTGACCGGGCTCCCTGATAACGTGGAGGAAGCAATAGATCATATCCTGAACTTGGAGGAGGAATATGTGAGTAGTGGAGGAGGCAGGGACGTGAAGGCCAGAAGAATGGCTCTGGTCTGTAGCATAAACAGCCCAGTTAACTTCCTTGTTAGTTTTTAGGCCTATACTCTCCACTAAAAGTCCCTGCTGTGTGTGCGCAGGGAGCTCAGCGAGCAGCTGTGGACACTTACGGGGCATCTCTAATAGGGGCATACTGCTGCATGATAATGATCACTGAATGTCTGGCTCCTGTGGCTTGTGGGCAGAAGAAGTTAGCGTTTTCCTCCTTCCATCCGTCTCTCTCGCACTGTGCTCATGGCAGTTTCAGCTGTTCTGTGCAACTGTCCCTAGAAGTTAGAGCCCCGAGGAGGTGTTGGCTCGTGAAGCAGTGTCAAGGCAGCCTATGTGGCCACAGCCCCGTGCCACTGAAGTGGGGGGAGGGGGGGTAAATGAGTGAAAAGAGCAGCCGGTCAGATGGCTGTCATCTGCCTGTCTGAGGAGTGCAACAAGCTAGTCTTAGGCTGCTACTGGCAGCAATCGCTGTTTGACGCTGTGGGGGAGGGGAGACTCCATTGACCAAGTAGGGAACACAAGAAACATCACCATACAAAGAGAACCTCTCTCCCTGTGCTGCCCTCTGTCTGCAGCTGGCTGATGTGGTGGACAATGAGGCTATGCAGGTGTACATGAAACCCTCCGCGCATGAGGAGTCCAAGGCCCCATCCAAGGGATTTGTGGTGAGAGATGCCCCCTGGGCAGCTGGCAACAATGAGAAGGTGAGTGCTGCTTCTGCTATTGCACCTCCAGAGGTTCCTCTTCCTAGAGACTGTTCCTGTGCCATGGACTCCGCATGGCAGGATGTGAACAGGAGAGTCATCTCACTGTTCATTGTGGGACCTTTAGGGAGCAATGCCTGTTCTTCTTTGAGAGCTTGCTCATGTCGATTCCATGCTAGGTGTGTGCATGCCCATGTGCAGAGATACTGGAATTTTTTGCCTTAGTTGTATCTGTAGGGCCGGCTGTGGTGCCCTCTGGAGTGCCACACTCATGTGCTGGTATATGAGGAATCGCCGCCTTACGACCTCAGTTCCTTCTTACCACCCCTGACAGTTGGTCGGAGCAACTTCCCCTTGCCTTGCAAGTGGATAATGGGTTTTCCCCAGCACCTATTGTCTGTTCTCTTTGTACGTAGTTTACAGTACTTAGTAATTAGGTGTTAAGTTGTAAGGGTTAGTTTTAGTAAATTAGTCTCAGCAGGGATTTTGCCCTGGCCGGTCATAGAATCATAGAATATCAGGGTTGGAAGGGACCTCAGGAGGTCATCTAGTCCAGCCCCCCTGCTCAAAGCAGGACCCAATCCCCAACTAAATCATCCCAGCCAGGGCTTTGTCAAGCCTGACCTTAAAATGATTTCACCACCTCCCTAGGTAATCCATTCCAGTGCTTCACTACCCTCCTAGTGAAAGTTTTTTTCCTAATATACAACCTAAACCTCCCCCACTGCAACTTGAGACCATTACTCCTTGTTCTGTCCCAGGGTTTCAAGCCTTGTTCAGCCTGCAATAGGCCTGTGCATGTTAGCGACCCTCATAGCCGCTGCCTGAAGTGCTTGGGAGAGTCGCACGTAAAGGACAACTATCAAATTTGCAAGAACTTTTGACCCAGAACTCAAAAGAAGCGGGGAAATTCATCTAAGGGCCCTTCTTATGGAGGCTGCACTTCGTCCAGCGTTAGAGCCTTCCTGCTCCAACTCTACGCCTAGCACCTTGGCATCGGTGAAGAGCGTTCTGCCCGGCACCGCTCCCCTTTGCCGGTGTCCAAGAAGCACCTGAAAAAGCGAGGCTTCCCGGCATCAAGCAAGGAGGGACAGGGCTGTCTGCCCACTCCGGAGCCTCAAGGGGGTACCTCTCAGGCTGGAGCCCCTAGGACCCCCCCCACCCAGGGATCCCACTCCTGGGAGCAGTAGGGACCCTGGCACCTGGTTGTACCTTCAACGTCTGAGGCCCTCCAGGCAGCTAGGGACCAGAGAGCCCTTCCGGCGCATTGGAGGTGGCTACGGGCAAGCCAGCTCTCAGGGCAAGCCAGCTATGAGACCACCTCAGAGGGCAGTTGAACACCGTCCCTCCCCGGAGCAGAGGCAAGGTTCCACTACTGAGTCCCCTGACTCGGCAACCTAGATCTCCGATCAGATGGCCCAGGTTGCCCTCACCGTGGTCCTGGTCTCCACCGGCGCAGAAGACCTGCAGTGAGGCATCGGTCTCTGTACACCCAGCACCAATCGTCCTTTCACTAGCCGATGTCCCGGTGCAGATCTCTGCTGGTACGGGACATCTCACCTTCCTGGCACTGGTCTCCATGCCCCCGGCACCAGTCCTTGGAGAGAGACTGATCACCTTACTTGAGGCATCATTCCCTGGTGCCTATGGTCAGGTACCAGATGCGAGCATCTACAGTCCTGCCTTGGTCACTGGAAGGGGACTCGTCTAGGTCAGAGTGAGACTTTAGCCCCTCGCCATGGCAGCAGCAAATCTTGTGGGCACCGGAGTCCATCTCTGCTCCCACAGTGCCGGCATGTTACCAGTGTCAGTGGCCAGTCCTATTGGAATGCATGGGGTACCATTCCTCCTTTGCTGCTTCAGAGAAGCAACCCCCTGCAACGACTGTACCAGACGCAGTGTGCGGTGCGGACTCCAATGCTGGGGTAGAGAAGCAGGTGCCCACTCCAAGGGAGCCATCCCCTACAGGGGATAATGCCCCAGGCCTTCCCTCAGTGGTGCAGTCATCGTCAGATGAGGCAGTAGCGTGGCCCTTGCATGTCAGTCCCCGCGAGGACTTTAAAGAGCCCAAAGCCCTGCTTAGAAGGGTGGCTTCGAACTTGGGCTTGGAAGTGGAGGAACTGGCGAAGCAGTCAGGCAACTTGTTCAAGATTCTAACAGAAGCAGCCCCATCACGGGTCATACTGCTGGTACATAAGAGGATTTTGAAGATAGCCAAGGCCCTGTGGCAAATCCCGTCTTTTATCCTGCCCACCTCCAAGTGGACAGAAAAGAAATATTGTATACCTGCTAATATGTTCAAATATTTGTATACCCATCCACCCCCAGGGACACTAATCATATCTGCGGCCAATGAAAGGGACAGGCAAGGGCAAGTGAGTTCCACATAGAAAAACAAAGATGCCTGAAGGCTGGACCTTTCCAGAAGAAAAATTTTTATTCTATGGCCAGCTTTCAGTTCAGAGTATCAAACCACCAGTCTTTGTTGGGGAGATACAATTTTAACTTGTGGGATTCCCTCAAGAAGTTCTGACTCCCTGCCTCAGGAGTTTGCTACCATCCTGGAGGAAGGTACCGCAGTGGCGAGGGGCTCTCTCCAGATGGCCTGGGTTGCGGCCAATTCCTGGCTTCAATCCTTGGGTCTGTCCTAGGAGATGCAGTCCTCCATCCAGGACCTTCCCTTCGAAGGCAATGGGCTCTTTTCAGAGCAAACGGATGCGAGGCTGCATGGACTCGAGGATTCTCGAGCCACTCTCTGTGGCGTATGCAGGCCTAGCAAACGGCGAGAAAGCAATTCCAATCACCTCCTACGCCTTGGCCTCCCCGGCAAGGCTCAGAACAGAGACCGAGGGTTCGGTCATCATCTCCCCTCCACTTCCCATTCGCCCACTCAGCCTGGCCCAGGAAAACACTGGGGGGGGCCATAAGCACTCATTTTGAGGGTTCACTCAAGGATGACACTGCAGTTAGTTCTCAGGATCCACTTTCCTACTCCTTCCTCAACTGCCTATGTCGCTTCCAGTCAGCATCATCGCAAGTAACTTCAGACCATTGGGTGCTCAGTATATCTCTGGGCTACACCCTGCAATTCTCCTGGTGGCAATAATGTCAGCCTGTAGGGTCTCTGAGATTAGGGTGCTTATCTCAGAATCTCCCTACGTGGTATTCTACAAGGTCCCGCTGTGGCAGCACTAAGCTATCCTGCCCAAAGTAGTTTTACAGTTTCATACCAACCAAGACATATACTTACCAGTCTTCTTTCCAAAACCTCATAAATCAGATGAGGACCATAGATTACATTCCCTGGACATCAGGAGGGCGCTAGCCTTTTACACAGAAAGGAAAAGGAAAGGTTACGGGATGGGTTGCAGAGGATTGCAAGGGCGAATAGGAATCGAGAGGACTTGCAGCCAGAGGGAACAGAGGATAGACCAGAGAATTGCACCGTCACCAGGAAAAGGTAGGTCTACGTGATTGGAGACTCCTTACTGAGAAGAATACACAGGCCTGTAACCAGAGCTGATCCAGAGAACAGAAGGGTGTGCTGTCTGCCGGGTGCTAAGATATGGGATGTGGACTCTTTGAAAACTCATGGCGATCAGGGGAGGTCCCGGATGACTGGAAAAAGGCTAATGTAGTGCCCATCTTTAAAAAAGGGAAGAAGGAAGATCCGGGAAACTACAGGCCAGTCAGCCTCACCTCAGTCCCTGGAAAAATCATGGAGCAGGTTCTCAAGAAATCAATTATGAAACACTTAGAGGAGAGAAAAGTGATCAGGAGTAGTCAGCATGGATTCACCAAGGGGAAGTCATGCCTGACTAACTTAATTGCCTTCTATGATGAGATAACTGGCTCTGTGGATGAGGGGAAAGCAGTGGATGTTATTCCTTGACTTTAGCAAACCTTTTGATACGGTCTCCCACAGTATTCTTGCCGCCAAGTTAAAGAAGTATGGGCTGGATGAATGGACTGTAAGGTGGATAGAAAGCTGGCTAGATCGTCTGGCTCAATGGGTAGTGATCAATGGCTCCATGTCTAGTTGTCAGCCGGTTTCAAGCGGAGTGCCCCAAGGGTCGGTCCTGGGGCCGGTTTTGTTTAATATCTTTATTAATGATCTGGAGGATGGTGTGGACTGCACTCTCAGCAAGTTTGCAGATGACACTAAACTGGGAGGCATGGTAGATACACTGGAGGGTAGGGATCGGATACAGACCTAGACAAATTAGAGAATTGGGCCAAAAAAAACCTGATGAGGTTCAACAAGGACAAGTGCAGAGTCCTGAACTTAGGATGGAAGAATTCTATGCACTGCTACAGACTAGGGACCGAATGGCTAGGTAGCAGTTCTGCAGAAAAGGACCTAGGGGTCACAGTGGACGAGAAGCTGGATATGAGTCAACAGTGTGCTCTTGTTGCCAAGAAGGCTAACGGCATTTTGGGCTGTATAGGTAGGGGCATTGCCAGCAGATCGAGGAACGTGATCATTCCCCTCTATTCAGCATTGGTGAGGCCTCGTCTGGAGTACTGTGTCCAGTTTTGGGCCCCAAACTACAAGAAGGATGCGGAAAAATTGGAAAGAGTCCAGCGGAGGGCAACAAACATAAGGGGCCTGGAGCACATGACTTATGAGGAGAGGCTGAGGGAACTGGGATTGTTCATTCTCCAGAAGAATGAGGGGGGGATTTGATAGCTGCTTTCAATTACCTGAAGGGGGGTTCCAAAGAGGATGGAGCTTGGCTGTTCTCAGTGGTGGCAGATGACCAGAACAAGGAGCAATGGTCTCAAGTTGCAGTGGGGGAAGTCTAGGTTGGATATTAGGAAACACTATTTCACTAGGAGGGTGGTGAAGCACTGGAATGCGTTACCTAGGGAGGTGGTGGAATCTCCTTCCTTGGAGGTTTTTAAGGCCTGGCTTGACAAAACCCTGGCTGGGATGATTTAGTTGGGAATTGGTCCTGCTTTGAGCAGGGGGTTGGACTAGATGACCTGCTGAGGTCCCT